GGTCGACTGACGTCCAGTTCCCGTCCGGTGTGAACCCCGAGAGTCCTATCCGTTGGTGTTATGTATTGAAGATTGCACTCAAATAATACTAATTCACTGTTACTTTGATTTACATTATAATAAAATTACAGTTTAATTGAAAATGAATTTTATTTTATTAAATGAAGAAATTAGATATTTAAGATAATATATCATACTATAGCATTTAGTTAATAACCTGGTTACTTTTGCTAATCATATAAATCATATGAACCGTTGGATAGCAAAGGGAAACAAGTCTCAATGAAAATACAAGGTATTGAACTTAATTTAATGGTTTAGCCAAATAAGCTTATATACCTGACACAAGTTTACAATAGTGTTTAGTATATAAAACACATTTTATTTAAATAATACAACAGTTATTATTTAGACAATCATTAAAATGGATACAATTTTTTACAAACATGTGTTAAATATATCAAACGGTTCACCGATTTTAGTGATTGAAAATGATGTTAAGGAAAGGGATACAGAAATTGGAGTCAAACGCAAAGCACATCCGATTAATTGGGATAAAAATAAACTAAAGTTTTTGAGAAATTCGGTATAATTTTCTATTTATTATTAATATTTATAATTAAAAAAATAATTAAGTCAATTTATTTTATATAGAATGACCAATTTGATAGCAAGGGAAATATTAAAATGGTAATTTTTATAAATTAATTTTCAAAGTTTAGTTTATAAATTATTTAATAATGAATTTATAAATAATGATTAATATATTTTTTTATTTCAATTTATGCATAAAATAGGGAAAATCAGTTTTTAATTAAATTGTGATTGGTGTTTAATTTAATTTAAATTATTTAGTAATTCATAAACAGCATTTATAAATTACACATTTATACATTTATAAACAGTATAGTTACTTAAGTAATAATAACTTATTATGCATGTGAGCACAATGATCAGGTACAATTAGTTTTCATAGACTTTATACACTAAAGATTTTGATATTTAGTCGTAAGCATAAAATGCTTACAAGAAGTGAAAGATAAGCCTATATTAGTCAGGTATCATCCGATATATTGAACCAGATATCTTGTATATTTATTTAAAAACAATTCATATTTTAATGGAGATTTTTTTAATCAATAATATCGTAATAAATCATATAAATATAGTTAACTTATAAAATGTATTTCATAGATAAATATATAATATTTTAAGAAATAAATATCAAAATATGAACTCAAAATACTCGCAATATATTAAAAACAGATCAATTAATAGGTTGTTTATTGTTTATATCAAATGCTTTAATTAACCTCAATAAGGTTGCCATGGTGATCATTTAAAGTTTAAGTTTTAAAGTTTCAGTAATATAATATATAATATTGATATAAACATCATAAACCAAATGTTTTTAAACCACTGTTAAAAATTAAATATATTTATATTTATTATTATATTCAAGTAGAAATTACTGTATAATGCAAGCAATTACTAATTATTTGCGACATACACTTTATACACATTTTGTCGACAATAATATTCACGATTTTAATTCATTTGAAATTCTCGACACATTTATCAATAGGTATGTCATATTAGCCGTAGGTTTTGAGGACTACGCGAATGGCGATTATATACCGCGCTATCAATCTCGACAACTATTGGCTCGCGGGTTACTGGTGTTAGTTGGGGTCAGGTATGTCCTATCATTCATTATCAATAAACCTTATATAAGGGCCCTATTATGCGACGCAAACTACATGTTTGGTAACCCGAGACTTATATCACTAATGATGAGTGTCGCGGCGTTTATCATACTATTCTTCGACATTAATAACCAATGGCTTCAAGATAGGCGTCAATTATATATCTGTAATTTTGTCCTGGATGTCAAACGTGGTCAAGTGTCGCCCCCTTTAAACGCAAGGAATAACCGAAAGTTTTTGTTAAAACACAATTTGTTTGTCAAATATGTTTTGAGACAAACATTTTGGTTGTTATTTATTGTCACAAATTGTGTGATATTCTGGGCGTCGGTTACGGCTTATTTGGACCCCAACTCTGGTTTCACTATATTAGGTATGTTTGACGTAAAGTTGGCGCCACTATACACGTGTAATCTTATTATAATAAGTGATGCCCTNGTTACGGCTTATTTGGACCCCGACTCTGGTTTCACTATATTAGGTATGTTTGACGTAAAGTTGGCGCCACTATACACGTGTAATCTTATTATAATAAGTGATGCCCTCTATTACATAATCAAATATATAATTTTTCAATAAATATAATATATTAAAATTTAATTAACTATTTTGTATTTTTAAACAGAAATTTATACTATTTATTATTACAATATTAAACACCTTCATCTATTATTAACTTTAGGTGTGGCGTTTTGGACAGTATGTACCGCAGCATGGTTGGCACTAGTGTACGGGATGATTTGCATAGAATATTTCATTATATATGCAGCGAGTAATTACCTAAAATATAAATTTGGAGAAATTAACATGGACATTCGTATGGCTATAAAACATAGAATTAACACATTGTTAATGAGAGCAATTAATCAGCATAACCTTGTTGCTATTATGACCTATAAGTTTAACGTACACTACAAATATATACTGTTTGCGATCTACTATTTCGGAACCCCTGCCACAGAAATACTATTGTATTTAACGTTCGCAAAGGGAACCACTAAAATGGTGTTACGATTTGTGGCCGCATTTCTATTCATTATAACGTTTGGCGTTGCATTTGTGGTCAACTACCTGTCCACTCGAGTCAGTAGATCCGCCCATAAAAGCATTGATATTCTGTATTCGCATATGAATTGCTGCACACTTTCACTGAGACATCGGTTAAGGGTTTTGGTGTTCATCTCCAGGTTAGACAAACACGACATCGGGTTCTCTATTCACGACTTATTCCGTATGTCTTCACTTGAGTTCGCTCTCTATGTCTACGTTGTTGTCTCCAATTATATGCTTATCCTTAACTTTGTCAACTAATTGTACCTGATCATTGTGCTCACATGCATAATAAGTTATTATTACTTAAGTAACTATACTGTTTATAAATGTATAAATGTGTAATTTATAAATGCTGTTTATGAATTACTAAATAATTTAATAACTAATTGTACCTGATCATTGTGCTCACATGCATAATAAGTTATTATTACTTAAGTAACTATACTGTTTATAAATGTATAAATGTGTAATTTATAAATGCTGTTTATGAATTACTAAATAATTTAAGTTAAATTAAACACCAATCACAATTTAATTAAAAACTGATTTTCCCTATTTTATGCATAAATTGAAATTAAAAATATATTAATCATTATTTATAAATTCATTATTAAATAATTTATAAACTAAACTTTGAAAATTAATTTATAAAAATTACCATTTTAATATTTCCCTTGCTATCAACAAATTGGTCATTCTATATAAAATAAATTGACTTAATTATTTTTTTAATTATAAATATTAATAATAAATAGAAAATTATACCGAATTTCTCAAAAACTTTTGTTTATTTTTATCCCAATTAATCGGATGTGCTTTGCGTTTGACTCCAATTTCTGTATCCCTTTCCTTAACATCATTTTCAATCACTAAAATCGGTGAACCGTTTGATATATTTAACACATGTTTGTAAAAAATTGTATCCATTTTATTGATTGTCTAAATAATAACTGTTGTATTATTTAAATAAAATGTGTTTTATATACTAAACACTATTGTAAACTTGTGTCAGGTATATAAGCTTATTTGGCTAAACCAGAAGTGTCCATGAGGGTAAGAATGGGTATTATTACAGTACTTGTAATCATTTTATTAAAAACTAAACACAAATACCATAACACGTGTGAGTAGGGATTATCAATTACTAATAATGCAAGGGATTATAAAAATTGTACAATAATATAACATTAATTAGGATTGACTCTAAAATTTTTAACTGTAAAAAACATTAATAAATAATGTCTGGCCACGTCTGGGCTAAACCATTAAATAAAGTTCAATACCTTGTTGAGACTTGTTTCCCTTTGCTATCCAACGGTTCATTTAATAAAATAATATTCATTTTCAATTAAACTGCTTAAAATAATATTACATTTAGTTTCATTGTCACTTAATCATAATAAACTCACGTTAGAAGTTATGTATTGTGGTTGCCTATCCTGAGAGCCCCAAGTGTGGCCTGCCCTTGACCTGCAGTCAGCTGGCACCCTTCCCTTCGCTCAACTTCAGCCCATCCTTAAGGCCCAGAAGTTGGACGGACGAGACGGCGGTGTAGTTGACGGCACCCAACACTACCGGTGCGTCAGTCTTAGGCCAATCCAATACCGACGCGTACACTGTTTTGTCGGTCTGTTTGGTATACCTGTCCGCCCGAACCACTCGTATATTAATATGTGTTTAGATTTTAAGTGATTTTTATGACAATTCATACCAAATGTGAGGAGTGATGGTATCGTTTTGATGGGTCCACGGCTTCGACCCATAGATGGCCTCCCCGTTGACGGCAAGCCATGCGCCCAACTCCCGGAGCCTTTGCTCGAATATGGGTGCTATGCGGCCGTCGTGTGTGGGCCCGACGTTTATTAAGATATTTCCACCCAGGCTATTTAAAAAAATTCATATTTATTGATATAGTTTTATATAACTAATACTTATTTAAGTAAAATTTAAAATTGTGACATGGTATGATAAGGTTTACTTGTTTTTACTTTTACATTGCATATTTAATATTAATATTAATTTAGTTACAATCTGCTACTATATTTGTAAAATAAACTTATTAACGATGTATTAATTTATGTTATAAATGCAATGATTTATAAAATAACATTGATTACATAAATTATATAATTATTTGGTAAAAAATTCATTTCATAATTTATATTTTTAATTCATGTAAATAATGTTTTTATTAATTTTTCTATATTTTATATAAAACGTTATATTAGTGTTTGAGATCAGCCAGATATTTAGTGTTAGAAAAATATGTGTAAGCTTATTAAAACTCTATAATTATCTGACAGTTTGTGCTTGTGTAATATTTATATTGATTAATTATATTTATCACCTTCTGTTATATAATAGATATATTACTATAAATTAGATATTTAAATAAAATACTATAAATCACGTATTACAATAATAAATCATACAACTAAACAAATATTAATTAGAAAGATTAAATATATTTTTCAAATACAAACTTCATTGAGATCCCATTAATTAAATGCAATAAATATACTTAATATTGATATGAATTCATGGATTACCTGACAGTCTGTACTAATGTGGCAATGAGTTCGTGAGGGGTCAGGAAGTCCGACAATTGTACGTCACGTCTGAATGTCCAGGCATTTTTGTCCACGGTCATTGCATTTTCAAACTTATGCTTTGGTAGTACATCGGGTTGATAACGATCCGGACCACTATAATAACCACCATGAGTTTGCGGTGTACCTTGACCTAGGTATAACAAATTTGTTAATAATTATATGACGTAAATAAATTGAACTAGTTACTAACCCCATCGATCATTAGTGACTACAGTATCCTTAACCGGGCTATAAGTATAAAATAATATTCATATTTTTATATTGTTTCCAAATTTACTTATTAATTAACTAACCTCTCGTTGTATAACCATGCTAAAAAGTCGGTACTGTTCCAGTAGGTGTCCGGTGCCTCCCAGTCCCCATCAGACCAGATAACTTCCGGTTTGTATGCATTCACTATCTCTTCCAATTCCGGACGTGTTTTGTGCTATACTTTGCGACAATATTTAGGATTTAATTTAGTGTTAATTTTTGGTAATAAGGGGACAGGGAGGACATACCGTTACGAATCTATTTGTGGCAAATTTGTTGGCCTTGTCCTCCAAATACAACGGATTGAACCACTCGTACAGCGAGTGATATAAACCAAACCGGAGGTCAGCTTTTCGCACGGCTTTAGCTAGGTCACCTGAATAGATACCAATTGAGTGAATATGCGATTAACTATTTTTATAAATTATAATTTTGTATAATATTCTATATATCAGAGCACATCTATATAATAATTATTATTAATTATAATAAATATTATTATATAGACTCAGATATGAGCGAGATAAATATAATTACCAACTGAAATTAACTTTCATAAAATAAAATAAAATAATTATTTAATATACAGTATAATCTCTTATAAAACGTAACATTATTGTTCAAGATTAATCATTTAAGTAAAACATTATAATGGTGGTTCACATGAAAATCCACTTTAAAATTAAAATAATTTAAAATGAGTACACAATTAATCTTAAATTAATATTTACAATTTGTACTGCTAGTTTCAAGACAATTTAGTAAAAATAAATATATAATTGTATTATAAAATATTGCAACGTTACCGACGAGGTCCCGGTTGGGTCCCACATCCATGGCGTTCCAGTTCCACGAGTACTTCGACGGCCATAGGGTATAGCCCTCGTGGTGTTTACTGGTCAGCACCACATACCGGGCCCCTGAAGCTCTGATATTAAAATTTTTTATTAACATTCAGATTTAATTATATTATAGTAAAGTCTTAAAATATTACTTGAATATCTCGGCCCAATGATCGGGGTCATAAAACTCAGCCGTGAACAACGGGGCGAAGTCGGCGTACGTGAAGTTAGGCTTAAAATTTTTGTTCATAAACGCGATCATATCCTTGTCATGGTCGTTTTTCCAATTGTTCCTGGTGTAAATTAAATATTATTTCATATGTATAGTTTTAATTGATAAATAATCAATAAATTTGGTACTTAAGAGTATAATCAAATAAATATATTATTATAAAAAAAATCGCCCCGTCCTTTGGCACCCATAGAGTTAATTTATATTAAAATTGTAATATTTATTAAATATTTAAAAACTATTTACAGTTTAAAAATGTAAAACAAGTATTTTATTTTATCAAAATAATATATAGTTAAGTCTTACCAAAACCAGGCATTTTTATAGCCTATAGCAGAGAAAACTCCCCAGTGTAAGAATATGCCAATTTTATCATTGTCAAACCATTGGGGTAGGGGCCGGGAGTCTATGGACTTCCAGTTGGGCTCGTATTTAACATCCGCCACATTTTGGGCAACGAATACACTTAATATGCCTATAATTGCATACAATTTCATTTTTACTGGCTAATAGTTAAGATTATTATACAACACAATAAAACTAACTATAACTGAAAGATTTATTTGCCTTAAATAGAGAATATGACTAATATATACAATGTGACCTGGGTATAATAAATATAAAATATATTTTAGGGTTTAAATATTAAGTAATTAAAATTAATGTAGTATGCTGATTTATATAATTAAGTGTATATTGTTAATAAATTTTTAGATATAATTTTTACATAAATAGATGTTTATTATTATTGTATTATAAATAGGTTTTTACTGTATTTAACCCGCTTAGAAACAATGACTAATTAACCTTGCTAATCGTCTGTCAGATATAATGTACCTGTTAATCCTTTTTTTGATAATGATTAGGGCATTCAAACTGTCAGTTTAGTTCAAAAAGATTATTACAAATATTGTTTTATCGTTTGTGTCAAAAAATAGATTATTACTACACTCAAAGTACTGTACCCTGCTTGTAATCAATGTACTTTACTCAAAATGCTTTTTATAATAAACTATTATGCCAATCAAGTATAAAGTAACAATTTGATTAATTTGCTTAAAGTAATAATTGTAGCAAAATAATTAATTTATATTTTACAATATACTTTGAAATTATAAGTCAGTACATAGTATATACAGTAAAGGTCCTTTAAGAGCAACTCGTATTTGCCTGAAAAATTTGTTGCCTATAAAGGAATTTGCCTATATGAGACTAAACATTTATTTTTATTAATAATACATAAAATACTGTTTTAAAGCAAATAATCATTGATATTAGCCTGTTTAGCATTTAATTTGACTAAATATTTTGAAATACCTTATAATTGGATATACAGTAGAATAGGAAGTTAGTAACCCTTGTCCGCCCCGACCCTTAAAGGTTTCGGACGGAAACGGGTTTGACAATAAATGGTCGGAAAGGGTTTCCCGATATATAAATTAAAAACCCTTAAAAAGCCTAAACTTTTATATTTTTCTCACATTATTTATATTTTCTCTCAACTCGACCCCCAAAATGTCGATAAATTATTGTTTATTAGATCCAATTATGATTTTTGTAAACCTTAAAACATTATATGACCATATTTATTGTAAAATGCAGTAAAAGTTAATTTAATGTGAAACTTATCGTAATTTCGTATATCATGTTTAATATTTTAAGGGGGTTTTCGGGTTCCCACGGGTTTCCCGGAAAAGAGGCGGGCAACTCGGGCTTCCCGTTTGAAATACACCAGGGTTCGGGTCGGGTTTCAAAAATTGGTCAAACTTTGGACCTTACTATACAGTAACAGTCAAGTGGTGTCTGTCTTAAGGCAAATGAATCTGGTTATCACTTGTTAAGTACTAAATCAACACAAACACTAATCAATTTATAAACACATGGCAAACATAAAACATGTATACTTTGAATGTAAAACAATAACATTTTACCACAAAATACTAATTGAAAAATATTTGCAATTTTAAATATTTTTATACAGTCTGTTGCTTATAAGAGCACTACATAATGTTATACATGTGCTTACAAAACTAGTGACTTATAAGAGACTTTTGCCTATAACGGACTTGCTTATAACAGACCCCATTAGCATTGAATATCCATAGGAGCTGCCGGTGCTTTAATATTTGCTTGCTTATAAAGGATTTTGCCTATAACAGGCGTTCTCTTATCAGACCTTTACTGTAGTTGTATTAAATGTTTTATTGTTTTATTAAATATTTTTACTCGCATATTGTATTTATATATACTGGATCATTTTAATCAATTTGTGACATAATTATTGATAAAATGTTTTGTGCACAAAAATCTCGAAATATTATATTGATGTCGAAGTACTCGTGGAACTGGAACGCCATGGATGTGGGACCCAACCGGGACCTCGTCGGTAACGTTGCAATATTTTATAATACAATTATATATTTATTTTTACTAAATTGTCTTGAAACTAGCAGTGCAATTTGTAAATATTAATTTAAGATTAATTGTGTACTCATTTTAAATTATTTTAATTTTAAAGCGGATTTCGATGTAAACCACCATTATAATGTTTTACTTAAATGATTAATCTTGAACAATAATTTTACGTTTTATAAGAGATTATACTGTATATTAAATAATTATTTTATTTTATTTTATGAAAGTTAATTTCAGTTGGTAATTATATTTATATCTTAATAATAATTATTATTATATAGACGTGCTCTGATATATAGAATAATATTATTATATTATAATTTATAAAAATAGTTAATCGCATATTCACTCAATTGGTATCTATTCAGGTGACCTAGCTAAAGCCGTGCGAAAAGCTGACCTCCGGTTTGGTTTATATCACTCGCTGTACGAGTGGTTCA